TTTTTTTTTTTTTTTTATTAACGATTCGGTGAAAATTTAAACTGATCACAAAGAGTCTGTGGCAGTTAATTGTTTATTCTCGTGCGTCATGTAAAAGTGACTTAGAAAAGTCACACACATATTATGCACACATGTAAAATGTTAGATGCCTTCCGGGGATCCACTGAAAACGTGAAACCTTAAAGTAAAGTTTCCTGTCAACATTTTCGTAAATGTTTATTTTTTTTTATTAACGATTCGGTTTACAGCAAACGCGACTTGAATTTGTGGTAAAATTGACGAAAAAACGATTCCTTCAGCCGAAGAAAGTAGCGAGATAAAATTCTTTAGGCGCATAGTGTCACACTTGACCTACGAAGTCTCAGTTGTAGTCCGAAGTCACTATCGGGGCTCATATCAGATGAATAGCTTAGAAGCGGAGGTACGTAGGAATTCGAAGGACTCGGCGATATCGGTTAGGGCGGCGCGCATATCCGCACGCTCCTCCGACGCATCGCTATCGAGTAGTGTACTCGGTAGCGCAGAGACCTTGGACACATGCAACACACACACACACGTACATACCTACTTTAATTTCATTCCAGTGCGACGGTTCACATCACCGTGGTTGATGTCAACGAATACGCGCCGCAATTCCTCCAGCCAGCGTACGTCAGCACGGTGGACGAGGGACGTCTCTACGAGGAGGTTGTCCGCGTCGAAGCCTCCGACCGGGATTGCACACCGAAATTTGGCGATGTTTGCAAGTACGAGATCCTTACCGGCGATCAGCCGTTCATCATCGACAACGAGGGCGCCATCCGCAACACCGAACCCCTGGACTATGAGCGATCGCACAATTATATCCTCAGCGTAGTCGCGTATGATTGCGGCATGAAGCAATCGGCGCCGGCGATGGTGACGGTCAAGGTGAACCGTGTGTGCGCTCCCGGATGGCGCGGTATCCCCGAGAGAGTCGACTACGCCGCCGGCGTTGGCTCGCAGCCCCTGCTACCCTCGGCACGACTCGATCTCTGCGACGCGCCCTGTATCCTGCGCAACGTACGCGCCACTTTGACTCTCGGTACAGACCACATTGGCAAAGGTTGCGACCGCGACACGTACGGCGTTCGTAGTCAGCGCAAATTGTGCGGTGCGTCGCGGGACAGCGTGGATCTGTTACCCACACCCGGACCCACGACATCCTGGACGGCGTCCCTGTCCAGGGACGAAGGTAGAGAGGCCGACGAGATCTTCGAGTTTGACGGAGTCGACTCAGCCGCGATCGTCCCGAACGACGTGCTGGAACATAGTCTGGCGCAGAAGTTCACCATCGGCGTCTGGGTCAAGCACCGGCCGCGTCCGCGACAGGACCCGCATGTCAAGGAGCATATACTCTGCGCTGCCGATGATCACAGTAAGTTTCTCAAAAATGCAATGTTCGATCTTTGATTTTTTGAAAACGCCGCCACATTTATCAGGACGTCGCGATTGACTCTGTAGCGAAACCTAGAATTACCTTAAATCGTCGCGATAAGTGCTTGATAATCGGTCGTCTCGACCGATCGAACACCGTCTCAAGCATCGGACGATGTAACCGTCGCTGGCGGAATATATTACGTCGTCGAGGGTGTAATGTGTGCGAGCGTGCGCGCGCTCAAGCGTTAAAATATACACGTTCACTCGGAAACGTGCCGGGGTATTATCGTCAAGTTTCGAACAAAGCGGCTTAATCCTTCCACGGAATGAATTTTGGCAAGAAATCAGGTCGCGTTCGTGCTTATATAGCGCGCTCGCTCTCGCGCACAGAGAGAGAGAAAGAGTTCAACTGAAATGAATCCCACCTATCCCGGGGTCTGAAATCTTTCTCTCTAAACACTGACCGGTTTCCATGGGCGTTTTGTAATCCTCTTAGGATACACGCCAGTCCCTTGACAATCGTGTCGCTATTACGTTTTATTAGATGGCGACGTGTCGCGAACAAGATGCAACTAACGCTACTCTGTTTCAATTACAGAGATGAATAGGCACCATTACGCTCTGTTCATAAGGAACTGCAGATTGATTCTACTCTTGCGACGCGACTTCTCCGAAGGCGACCCCAATATTTTCCGTGCAGCCGAGTGGCGTTGGAAGCTCGGCCAGGTGTGCGACGACAAATGGCATCACTATGCGGTTCAAGTTGACTTCCCGCGTGTCAGCCTGTACGTCGATGGCGAGGAGTGGCGCGCTGACGAGAAGAATCCCGAAGTTATCGACGATTGGCCTTTACATCCGGCTAAGGGTGTTAACACCACTTTGGTGGTGGGCGCCTGTTGGCAGGGCTCCGAAAACAAGACGAAACACCACTTTCGCGGCTATCTCGCCGGGCTCTCCGTTCTAGTCGGCCGTAACGAGAAGCCGGAGGTGCTGTCCTGCTTGCGACGTTGCCAAGAGGGCATTCACGTGCCGCCCATGGACCTGCTGCAACCTGGCACTCAGTTGCTGACCAACTCTGACCTGACCGAAGTGCGCATCGACGGTGATAACCGCACCAATGTCGAGACTCTGCTACGTCGCATCGGCTATTCGAATTCGCGGCGATTCCCGACGCCTGGTCGTCGTAACTTCCGCCTCGACACCACGATCGTCTGCGAAGGTAGCGAAAATACACCTCTGCCGGTGCCGACCGTACAGTCCTACGTCACCGTGTTGCCGCCCCCACGGCCGGGTATCACCGTCAACGGCACCGGTTACGTCGCCAGGGAATACGCGGACTTTCGACTGGGTGTCCGCGTGTTCCCCGACGCACGCGTCACCGCTGGCTCCGCCGCGCGACTGGACGCCTGCGCGGTTAGCGTTTATCCGAGTCTCAACCCCGATCACGAGAGCTTGGGATTACCCGGTGACGCCCTGCTCGCGTTCCACGACATTTCCGCCCGTGTGGACCGCGACGGCGTCGTTCTTTCGGGCGCGGATTCGCCCTACAACTACCAGCAACTTATCCGTCTTATCATGTACACGAATCGCAAGCCGGCTTACTATCTCGACCGCGTCTTCAAGCTGACTTGCTCCGAGTTAAGCGGCCGTTTCGCCAGCAACGAGTACGTGCAGACGCTGGCCGTGATTCATCCCAAGGAAAAGACGACTGTTTCGCCGCATACAACGCCTGGAGAACCACCTATCGCGAGAATCGTCGAGCCGGCACCGGGTCACGCGCAGCTTTCGCCGCATCACGCCGATCTGACAGACGAGTACGCTACCACTGCGCTTCGCGAGGGCGGCAAGACCATCGGTAGCGGTGGTGGCCTCGGCGGTGGCGGTGGCAGTCACGCCGTCACCATCGTCGCAGCTGCCTGCATGGGCTTCCTGTTGCTGATGGGTGTTGTAGGTGCCGCGCGGGTTCGCGGAGCGGCCAAACGACGACGATCCGCCGGTGACGAGCTCGCAGCTGAAACAGAGATGGCGTGGGACGATTCGGCCCTCGCCATTACCGTGAACCCGATGGACAGGCTGACGGCTGAGCAGGACCAGCATCACCAGAGTCAGAGAGACGAGGACGTCGACGACTCTGGCAGTTCCGACTCCGAGGACGGCTCGTTCAGAGACGACGACCTCGACAGCTCCGACTGCGAGAACGATTGCGAGCTCAGCAATGGTCGGCACCGTCGCCACAACTCGCCGCACGATTTGGAGTGGGATCATCGCGACGTTTAAATTGCTTATCTCCGTTGCATTTATCCCTTCCCTCTCCTCCTTCCCTTGCCTTCTCTTTCTCTCTCTCTTTCTCTCTTTCTCTTTTGTCAAGTTTCTCTCCTTCGACGTTGAGAAGAGTACTGGCTGGCGTGCCGCTTTTTTTGCAAAATTTGTATGGTACGTATCCGTACGAGCTATTCTCGGCGATATCTTTCTTGTCAGCGAACGCGATCCTGCAAACGGAAAGATTCCTTCTCATCGCACGAGTGTCCGTAACAATTCCACGGATACATCACCTGTCTACGGGTCGGTTTCGCGATTCGCCGCGCGAAACAAATTTCTCGCGCTCGACGTCATCGAGAGATTAGGAAATTAGAAAAACCACGCTCTCGAACTTTGAACTCTTGTTCACTTTTGGGTGTGACGGTAGAGTAATAAGATTTCACGTTTTAAGCTGCTCCGAACACTGCTCGTTCGATCGCCTTTTCGATTCTCTCAACGACTATTCTCCCTGTTTACCACGTAAGGGGGAGAGAGAGAGAGAGAGAGAGAGAGAGAGAGAGAGAGAGAGAGAGAGAGAGAGAGAGAGAGAGCGCGCGCGCTACGTTCGGCACTAGATTCCATGTGATTCCAAGTAGCGGCATTTTCGCTTTCCTCAGATTACATTATGTAAATAAGAATTATGAGAGGCTGAAACACACGAGTATGTGCACGCAATTAAGCACGAGCAGTTCTTGGTAGTAGTACATCCCTATCAAGTACATTCTGGTGTACATGGCATGCATGATGAGATATACAGATGGAACACCCAATGTTTACATAAATAAATGTGTATACATATACATATATGTATATATGTGTGTGTATATATACACACACACACATATATATATATATATATATATATATATATATA